ATGTCATCTCCGACAGTTGATCATTGGAATGCAGTAGAGCATATATTATGTTACTTGAAGGGGACACCAGGACGAGGTATTGTTTATCAAAATCATAATCACATGAGAATAGAATGCTTTGCAGATGCTGATTGGGCTGGATCTAAAGATGATAGGAGATCCACATCTGGCTATTGCGTCTTTGTTGGTGGTAATCTCGTCTCTTGGAAAAGTAAGAAGCAAAATGTGGTTTCTCGTTCGAGTGCTGAATCAGAATATCGGGCTATGGCACAATCAGCATGTGAGATAATCTGGATAAACCATTTGCTGAGTGAAATCGCATTGAAGACACCAATGCCTGCTAAACTCTGGTGTGATAACCAAGCTGCTATACACATTGCTAACAGCCCAGTGTTTCATGAGAGAACAAAACATATTGAGGTCGATTGTCACTTTGTTCGAGAAAAGATACAACAAGGATTGATCTCTACAGGATATGTGAAGACTGGAGAGCAACTTGGAGATTTGTTCACTAAAGCATTAAATGAAATTCGTGTTGGTTATTTATGTAACAAGTTGGGCATGATAAATATCTATGCTCCAACTTGAGGGGGAGTGTGAAAGACATTAGAATATACTTTAGAATATACTTTAGAATATTCTTCTATCCTTAGAATATACTTTAGAATATTTTAGGAATATACTCTAGGATATTATTATTGTATAGAATCTTATAGGAATATTCTATCTTTGTAATGTGTATTTATAGGGACTTACCCCTCCAATGAAATACACAGAAAATCATTCTCTTCTCATTACTATCCTATCCTTAATTCCGATAACACATATAATCAAAAGATTTAACGAACAAACAATGAGGGAAGTTCCAATGTATTCTGTGGATAATTTAGACCAAAGAAAACAAGAGGTTTTGAGATCCCACCCGTGAACATGCTAAATACACTTGCTACTGTACTGTTTGGTGTAAAGGGTGTCATAGTATTTGCTGTATTGGTAGTTTGGCACAGTGGTACTGAGAAACATCCGAACACATCAAATTCCTAGGTTAATGCAGTGTTGGTCTTTTAATCTTCTTCAATAGATCCACTTGGTTTTCCCATTTAATAATTTAGTTATATTTTTACAAGATTTTTTCCCATCAGAATAACTTGGAAGTGATGAAGGAGCCTCGATTGTAGAGGCTTGGTCATGTGTGAAGAAGACTGAGTGATGCACCTATTAGACGAGTTGAGAAGGGGGGAGGGGGGATAGAGAGAGGAAGACCCAAACAGACGTGAATTAGAGGAATCAGAACTGATATGTTTCTTCTTGGGTTGGATCAGAGTATGGTTTTGGAGATAGCAAAGTGGAGGGCGCATATTCGTGTGGAGGATTGATCTATTTTCTCTTTTTTTTATTATCTATTTATCTTCTTTATCTTTATTATGTTCTTATGTTAGTTTTATCTTTTATATTTAGTGTGTTCTTTAATCTTATCTTTATTTTTATCTTTATCTTACCTTATCTTTTTATTTTTCTTGTTTTCCTTTTCTTTTTGGCTTCGAGGATTGATTTATGTTAGCAGACTCCGAAATCGTTGGGGAATAAGGCTTGGATGTTGTTGTTGTTGTTGTAGAGTAACCTTGAAGTGACAAAAAAAATCACATAGTATCATTTATGAAGCTGAGAGATTAAACTTATGGCTGTGGTAAGTAAAAAAAACTAATAGTAGAAAATAAGGTGTAATGTGATCCAAAATCCCAAACAATTTTCTTTAATTTTCATTATAATGATTATTATCGCCTATTTGAGTTATAATTAATTGGTCTAAACTCTAAACAGTAAGGTTGAACCTCGCAAGCTTATTAGAGTTACTATGGAAGTATCTATCGTAACCCCCAGGGACCATTACGTTCAAGGAATGTAGGATTACTTGGTGAATGTTAACTTATTGGGAATGTCATATTTGTTGAGAATGTGTTTATTTTGTGGATGGTTAAATTTGTGGAAGTTGGGGAAACAATGCTAGACTTGAGAACCTATTAGGTAGAACCATCTGCAAGAGAGTATCATGGGTATGAGAGGTATGTTTACTGACATAGAAAATAGATTATGACTAGATTCGTGGCACCGAGTCAATGACCCACTTTTAAGAGGAGGAAACATGACCTATTTAGATTGCCTAAAATGCAGATAGAGCTGAAGGTTCATGAATAATTTAATGACTCTTTGTGTTGAAGACAGTTGACAAACTCTTCTGTAGAGACCGTGGCACATTGGTTTTAACCCACACCAGCAAAAACAAGCAGGAAAGCAAAAAAGATTGAATATCCATGAAACACTAGCGGTAAAAGCTTAAAAGTCCATGAAACACTTTTATGCGAGCTTCAAACTGATTCAGTCCAAAGATGCAGTGCATCAACAGGTTACACAGGGAACCTCGGAAATGGACAAAAATTGTTTGGTCACCATTTGTGGTGACGTGTGAGCCTTCCTTGATTCCAAAGATGAAACTCCCAAGATCACTTTGTAGACATGTATCATTCCTCATTATCTGGGTGGTAACATCAGGAGGTCAGTGAGCTGTCGACCTAAACTTCTTTGCAAACATTGTATGAAAGATTGGAAGCCCGAAGAGAGAAAAATATTTATGTCCCAAACCCTACACCTAGGTATTATGATACTGGTAAAAAATCTCAAAATATACAAGAGGGATGAGTGGATGACAAATAGCCCCAATGTAGTCAACTCAAAGACAGCTTATGGATTTCAATAATATTCATCTAATTGATACGAACAATTGGCACTTCATGTAACACTCGAATTTTACAACAATCATCTTTATTGTGTTCAGTCCTTTCTCAAAACACTCAAACACTGATATTTGCAGCTATGTGGAGTGTCATATTGCAGTTCCTGAAGTCAATGCTTTAGCCATATGACTCATATCGATTCACATTTGGCTAGAATTGTTGCGCAATAGTCAGTATCTTTATTTAATCTTGCAAAAACATCCCACTTCTAATTCTTCTACAAAATTATATTACCACCCATAAATTGGATTAAAAAAGAAAAGCCGAACTGGCATAAGATTATACTATGTAAGAATTAAAAACTTGTCTGTGAGCTCTATGGCTCTATCTTCATACAGTATTCTTTGTCCAGCTTCATTCTTGTATACCTTAAGATTCGAATAACAATATCCAAATGAATGTATCATAGTGTTTCTAAGAGCTGATTTAGTACTTTGTACTTTGAACACTTATGAGATACAGGTTCAATAGAGAAATGGCTCAATGTTCAAGCAACTAAGCAAGTCACATGTATCATTCTCAGTCAAATAAGCGCTCCCCCATTATGGTAGGAGCTTGACATTTGGATCCAAAGGATTTCCTGAAGGTCTACAGTCGAGCATACTACCTTCTTAGATAATGCAGAAGGTGTAATTCCTTTGTGAGAGATATATGTCACTAAAGGATTAGGTCAACTCAATACCTAGAAAGTATTTAAACAGTACATCAAAGTCTAGAAGTACATCAAGATCAGCAGTACAAATCCGCTAGTTTACATTTCGGATATCTCTTTATGTTTACTTGCAAGTGTACATATTCAGTAATCTCTTTCTGTTTCGAAAACCAGCCACGTTGAGGGAGGGTTAGTAAAAAATAATGTGCTTCTCCCCTCATGTTGAAAGCTACTAATATCACATTTTCTTGTGGGATTTGTGTGTTGGAGAGATATAGTTCACAATGGTGTAAGGAAATAAATGGATATTTTTCCAAAAATACAAGGCAATCCAGTTCGGGATACTACTACTATACCATGAGTGTGAATCGTGTGATGCTTAGTCATCTATGTAAAATGGTGGCTGAGAGCTTCGCGTGGGCGCCGCTAGTGCAGTCAACGAGGAAGTTTGGGTTTGAGTGGGAATGAAGGATTCCATTGTGTTACCCTCTTTGTGTATAGCTTCTGTTATGATTGTTATTCAAAGATTTTTGGAACTAGAGTGGTCCATGTCATTAGCAATAAATGAACAAAACCAATGATAAAGGCTTAGAACCAAATGACAGACCATTTGTGAAGAAAAAGGATGGAAACAGATAATTTTGCGGGCTGGTTGGGTTTTGTTAATATCCCAAGAGGCCAAGAACACCCTTTCATCCTTTCTTTTACCTAAACTTAAGCATCTGTTAAACTGAAACCTATACCCCATTACATCATGACAGTCTTCACAGTGCCAGTCAAATAAAACGACGAATTCTAATGCAAAACTATAACTACAATACACTAAGAGGATTACTAAATGTATATGATATGAAGCAGAATCTGGGCTTGGAAGAAGAGGGGAAGAAGCCCCCGTGGGTTTACCGAAGGCGGGACGGGCTTGAGCCTACCTCCGTGGGCTGGTTACGGGCTGTTTAAATAATATTTATTCTTTTTAATTTTCCTGATTTGTTTCCTATTAGGAGTTAATTAGGATTTCTAATATTTATTTCCTATTAGGAGTTAATTAGGATTTCTATTATTTCTTTCCTATTTGGAGTTGATTAGGATCTTTATTATTCTGTTAGAGTTGATTAGGATTTCTAGGATTTTGTTTCCTAGTTTAATTATTAGTAGATGGGTATTTAAACCCCTTGTTAGGATTTATTCTGGCTCATCTTAGAATAAAAGTTGGTTTAGCCTTTTGGCTTTGGGCAACGGTATTTATTTATCGTTGATTATCTGGGCAACGGTTCACCCCGTTGATTTTATTTTTTTCTGTTCACAACAGTATAAGAAAAGACTAACTAAAACATTTAAAGAAAAACAGCAATTAAAGTATACGAATCATAAAATATTAAAATAATTCAAGCTTTCTGACCAATGCCAGTAGCTTATTCCCAGAATGCATCATGGAGTCAACAAGTATAACATTTGAAACATAAAGAGACCTAAGGAGTATTAAAGCAGTAATAATAAAGGAAGTGAAGTACTTAATTCACCCACACGAGCAGAGACAACGGAAAGGGTGTACTCACTTCTCCCGCACTCTCTAGCTCCTCCTCAGAACAGCCAGCCCAAAGTGAATGTGCCCGGAAAGCAGCTTCCATGTTCCCAAGAAACTCCTGCACTGTTGCACTATCCTTGTCTGGATCTGGAGCATTGTTTGAAAATGATACTATGAAACTGCAAATGTTTCAATCAATTTACTCAAATGCTGCTAAACAACGTCAGATGTATGATGGAATAACATCTATGCGCAAATGTAAATCTATATGGGAAGGCTGATTAATATATGAGGACATGAATTTAAGAAAAATCATACTATGGAATGAAAAGGGTCTAGGAATTTTTCAAGCCAGACATATAGGCTTGGTTTAATTGATAGCGGGTCTTTTAGGAGAAGAAAAAAGGATTTGCTGTTCCTTTCCATTTTTTTCTCTGGACATAACAGTGATAACCCTGGACAATGCATCTCTTATGTATTATTAGAATGGATAAGTTACATGCATCAAGATAGATGATCAGTTATGCTTCCCCGCCAGTTTCTCTGGGGCCTGGGCAGCAGAATCGATGACCTGATCATCCTCAACAGCTCAACAAGTTAATGTATTAAGTTTAATCATTTTTGGGTTGGTGTGCCAGTAAGACTCATAAATATTGGAACTTGGAAAGCATCAAAAAAATATCTCTTTCATTAAAACAACACAGAAAGTATCACATTGGGCAACCATTATGAAAATTATATCATCAGACCAACTGATAAAAGTGCATAAGTATTTTGACTAATATATTTATCAAATCTATGCCATGTTTCATCAAATGTGAAGTCTCATAGGATTGAGTCATAATTGTTTTTGCCTCTTGAAGTAAAGTCTCACCACGCATGTTAATAATGTTCATAGAATAAAATATGGGCACACTAAAACGTCCAAAGGGTTATGATTTATTGTTTTTTAATTGACCATTTTATATGTGAACGGCCCTTTTGATGGCCAAAAATTACTGCTTGAAAAGAATCCTTACACAGTTACACTAAAAAGTTGCACTAAGTCATTAACGCACATAAGCCTCACTACAAACTGTTATTCTATTCTTTGTTAAAATATTGTGGAGTCAGAGAGAGAGAGAGAGAGAGAAAGAGAGTGCATGATAGAAATTGCTGCAACCAAACATTTTTCAGCAACATTTTTTACTCTTTAAATAGGATTCACGAATTACTGCAACCAAACACTATATATGTTACGCTGCAATATACTATTGCCATAAACATCATTGCACATCAAATTCTTTTCAAAATTGTTTGGTCATTTAAAAAATATATTGCATTGATTCAGCTATATTGCTTTTGACATACAAGCATAAAGATGCAGAACAAACATAGCGCATACATACACTAACAGAATGACATAGACCCCAGCATAATTTGCAGTGTTGGATGTAAGGGTGCATCACTTAAAAATGGATGGAATAGATCAAAACTCACGGTAAACCTAAATGTGTAATACGTAATAGTAAAAGTGCATATGCGATGTGTAAGGGTGCACATTCACCCCCTTAAAAACATCACAAAACGATTTCTATACTTGTTATTTTATTTTTGAAACGTGATGCACTTTTGTGTTAGTCCAATGCACTTTTCTTCCATAGTCATGCACATTTATCACATTATTTTTCAAAAAAAGTTTCTAATATTTACACTTTTGTCACCGAATTTTTCACTTTAAAATTGATCGGATCCACTCAATTTCTCATTCTAATGGCAAGATTACTTCTCATTTTTCATATGAGGAGTGCTTTGCATTTGAACCTGATAGGAACCCACTTATATTAGACTAATAATAGAAGTATTAATAATAATATTAGTAATAAGGGTCTGAGTACCCTAGTATAAATAGAGGGGTAAGGGAGTTAGAAAGGAGGCTTTTGGGACTTTGGTCTGGGAACTGGGAAGATTAGAGACTGACGATCTCTTCTCTTTTGGGAGGCTTCTGCCTAGGTCGCTGTACTGTTCATCTTCTTCAATAAAGAATTTCAGTTTGTTTCTTGATAATAATTCCTGTAATTGTTGTAATCTTGGAGGACTCTATCATTGGTATCAGAGCCAGTTGATCGCTGGATGACCGTGACGGAAGGAAGAATGACGGAATTGGAAAGAAGTCAACGTGAGAGGCAGGCGAGTATGGATAGAAGTCTGCGGGAGTTTCAAACTAGTATCGCGACTACTCTGGCCACGATGCAAGCTAGTATCGCGGATTTGCAGAATAGGTCTCCACGTCGATCAGGGAGTCGATCGCATAAATCGACTTCATCGCACCCTACGTCACACCAGGGGCGTACGAGGTATAAAGATAGTTCTGAAGGATCGGACAATCAGTCGGGTGATTCTGCATCGGGGCGTGATCGCGATCCTCACAGGCATCGTAAAGATCATCATAATTCGCTAAAGTCAGCAACTTCAGAGGAATCAGAAGATCTGAGGCATCGCAGAAAATCTGGCGATCGAACTGTTTCTTCGCCAAGCTCTTCACATCACTCTTCGCAGAGTTCTTCTCATCATTCTTATTTTCGCTCTTCGCATCAGACTTTCTCAACGGACATCAGTACGCGTTCAAGAAAGAAGCTAGGGAGTGGAGAATCATCACATTCGTCGCCAAAGGATTCTCACAGTTCACCTTCTTGGTCTAAAGTCAATTCTAGGAAGTCAGATATTTCAAAGGAGGAATTACCTCTATTTTACGAGCATGAAGCATACGAATGGATTGGGAGGATGGAAAGATATTTCCAAGTCCAAGCTATTGCAGAAAGATTTAAAGTGGATGTGGCAGCAAAGGCTATGGGGGAAGAAGCAGATGACTGGTTTCAATGGTGGGATTTTCACAAGAGAGAAGACAGTTGGGATGCACTAAAAGAAGATTTGATTAGGGATTTTCCACCTAAACACCTGCAGAAGACAGGGAAGACGGTAAAACAGGAGTCATCCAAGTCACGAAGAACTTCCAGTTCGCAATCTTCTAAGCGAATTAATGTTACTCCATGTTTGAAATCGAGTACCGCTTTGACCAACTCGCTAATTAATCATCATCTTCAATCGTCATCAGAAGGAATTGTTACTGATTTGCAGATGTCATCAAAACCTTTGTCCCAGGTTTCCGAATCAAGATGGAATCCGGCTGAATCATCAATTTCAAATGAACCTGTAATCAAGATGGAACCAACTGAACCTGTAATCAAGCAAAGGAATAAGGAAGATGAAATCAGGGAGGAAAGAGTCCTAATGGTTCCTGAAAAGTCTGATCCAAAGATTCATAAGGATCATGTTTATCTTTTTTCTGAAGAATCTGCTATCACCCGGGGAAACCGCACACAGATTAATGCTGCTGATAAATCTAGCCATGGCCAACACCTCGAATTACAACAAGCAGAATTACAGCCATGGGTTGAGAGCATGTTAGATTACCCCAAGCCTGACTTACATAATTCCCTTAGAGTAAATGAAAGTTATCAATTGTTGGGAGACATCTATGCAATGACAGCTCATAACCTATTACTTCCTGAGGTTTATAAAGTCTTCACAAGGTTTTTACAGAGGTTGAACCCAAAGAGTTACCAGCAAACTCCAGTAATTAGGGCTCCTGGTAGCATACAGCCTTTGGATGTTCACATTTTACCTTATGTTAGGCAAATGTGGACCAAACCACAACAACATGGTGAAGAATTGGTTATTGATTCACCAGATCTTCTGCCACTATGGTTGAAACCTTTACCAATTGATGACATCAAAGCTGTGAGCGGAGTTTCTTGTGATCCTAATACCAGGATAAGTATTCAAAGCAAGAAGCAGGGACTATGGGAATGGGGAGGAATTTCAAGGATGAAAGAAATGAAGATGAATGGTCAAGTATTGATGCTGATGGGTGCAGTTTACAAAAGGAATGGGCCTAGTCTTAAGTTTGATAGAAGGGAGTGCAATATCATGGAACAAATGCTACTTCGGGATCAGGATTGGGGAATACAATTGGAGATTGTTGAGTTCTTAAATTCAAAGATAGAAACACAGTATGACTCAAGTTCTCTTGAACCTTCTTCTGACATGTGTGTGAATGAAGTTCTGCATGAGATATTTAGGGTGAAGTTTCAATCAAGAGATAGGGTGAAGTCAGAAGCAAATGCTAGGCTGAGGCTGATCAGGAGTTTTTCATATAGAGGACTAGAAGTTTGGAAAAGTATGACACCACCACCAGCTAGATATTGGGAGGGGAGAGGCACCCGGAGGAAGCGGAATTCCAGAATTGGTTCCTATCATCCCACCTTGAGGACAAGGTGGTTGTTTAGGGAGGGTGTATTGATAGGAACCCACTTATATTAGACTAATAATAGAAGTATTAATAATAATATTAGTAATAAGGGTCTGAGTACCCTAGTATAAATAGAGGGGTAAGGGAGTTAGAAAGGAGGCTTTTGGGACTTTGGTCTGGGAACTGGGAAGATTAGAGACTGACGATCTCTTCTCTTTTGGGAGGCTTCTGCCTAGGTCGCTGTACTGTTCATCTTCTTCAATAAAGAATTTCAGTTTGTTTCTTGATAATAATTCCTGTAATTGTTGTAATCTTGGAGGACTCTATCAGAACCTCCCTCTAAACTTAGAGACTGAGTGGGAATGCTATGAACACACATAGACAGACGGAACAAATTGCTAAATATACAAAAGTATGCTGAATTTTGCTTTAGATGTAGTATTCTTGGTAATACGGATCAGTTTAAGCCATCAGTACTTCCCTATGGCCCTTGAATTGAGGGGGGCCTTAAAACTATAAAAGTTTAACTGTGAGCTGATACCCCTCATGGTTGGTCAAATGGGGGTCACTAATGGCTTGATGGTTAGTCCCTGCTTCCGGGAAACACTGTGAGGAGGGGATGGAGGTGCAGACAGGTAAAATGAGGAAGAGGCCCAAGAGGGGGATACTATGGGTGGATCAACAGGGGCTTGTGGTGTCTAATGAAGTTATAAAAGGAAAAGGTCTAGCGGCAGAGGTGGTGGGGTGTGGAGAAGGGAGTGGTGGCATGAGTATCAACCATGTCGACACAGATTGAGGCAGGGTAAACTGAGAAAATGCCAACGGCTGGAAGAACCACGTTTGGTTGTGATGGAAGAGGAGAGTGAGATGAAGGAGATGATATAATCAAGAAACAGGGAGCAGGCGGCTGTTGGGGGGGTTCCATCTCTACATTTAGGTGCTTTTGCTGCACTCTGCAGAGTAGGGAAGGTAGATATATAGGAATGTGGGGAGATGTACAGTGAGCTCTGGGTTGAGGCCTGGGGAATGTCAGGGTCACACTCTGTGAGTGAGCGGTCAGGATGCTTGGTCAAAGCAAAGTTCTCTTTGGTGATCATCTGTGAGTGAGTGAGTGAGTGATTGGTCATGATGGTTGGTCACACAATTGCATCATAGTCAAATACTTCTCTTAGCTTGTAGGTAGCAAATCAAGCTGGTATCATCTAGGTGAAGCTTATTACGGTGTGGACCACTATCTTAACAGTATTAGTCAAACCGGTTTTGGTTCTCACACACCTCTCACAAACAGAGGTGTTAGCTTGGCTGAAGTAGCTTTCTTGTTCAACGGATGGTCGGTGATTTTTTCCATTAGTTCTATATGACTATATTTGACCACTGAATTTATGTCTTTGTTTTACCTAATCTTTTGATTTTCTGTTTAAAATGATTACTTTAATCCAAGTATTTTCCACCCAAGCTATGTTTTTTCCGATACTATAATCTAAGTATGATTACAAGTTTCAGTGCAACTCGGGCTATTAGCTTAACAAAATCTGGATTATACTTGTAGGACTATAGTTTCCTTTTGTTGATGTTGCAAAACAGGTACATTGAGCTAGACGATTCAAAACAACATATAAGATCTTGAGCTCATCCTATCAAGTTAACTTTTTAGAATGAAACATTATATGTCCTAATATGTTGTTAGATCCGATTAAGCTCAAATTAGTGATTGGTCCTACTAATACTTAAAACGAGCACACAGGCATCAATACTTGTTTGCTCTAGCGAACCGCCATCTTGTAGGCATTTTAAGAATGTTTTTACTTAGACTGAATTTTTTTTATCTGATTGATCTCTTTAAATCTGACCTGGTCTGAATTAGTCTAGTAGATGTCTGGTCTTATGTGTTTTACAACTGTCGAGGTCTAGTCAGGGACTGAAACCAGACCAGTAAAACATCCTAAGTCATCCAACCAACCTATAAATCTTTCGCCTAAACCTATTATCAAGTTTACATTTTACCGAAAGTATACTGAAAGTTGGGTCCTGCTGTGGTATGCTTGGACGATTTCCCAATGATGACCACAAGACATGGACTTACAAAAATAAATTAATAATTCAGAGGGTTGTGAGGGGTGTCTTGAAGAACATTGTCATACCCATTAAATACTTCGTATGAAATAACTAAGCAATATATAAGAATTTGAATGAAACTCGGTCTTAATATTGTCTGTAAATTACGATTCCAGCGCACAATAATTGAACACGCATAATTTTATTCCAGACCTATGAACATCAGCATTCAGCAACCAATGAGAAATAAAAATAATAATAATAATTAACTTTTTTTGCAAGGATAATAATAATTAACTGAATTCTGATAATGAATAATGCAACTGAACTAACTTGTATCCAAACATAGGAGTACCTTTTTATGGCTTTGACGAACTCCGCAGCCGAAGGCTGGCGCATTCGCTCGAGGAAGTCGTGCCAAGTCAGAGGCGCCGTCGACGAACCAAACACATCGGCGTTCTCCATTGTTAACTGGAGCTCTGACCAGATCCGCGGTTAGGATTCTGTCAGAGCACGTCCAAACGGAGACACATGTCGGCCGATGCAGGGGAAGAGTTCGTATACCGAACAGCCACCGTACGGCTCACGTGGGGCATTTTGGTAATTTAGGTGTCCCCAATTGGGATTCCTAAGAGATTTTAATGAGTTTACGATTTCCTGAGAATTCAGGTGTTCCCAGTTTCGATTCATGTAGAATCCATGAAAATAAGGGTGTTCTTAAACATTCCGTGGATTTCTATTGTTACTTATTTATATAGATTTTAATGAAGAGAAATCATCTCATCAGGCCGGCCTGACGGGCTGCCCCGTCCGGCCGAGCCCGTTTGGGCACCTTCCCGGTGGAATTTTTTGATGAAATTTTTTGAGCATGTTCCTCATCAAGTCTAGTTTGTCCATGCCAAATTTCAGCTCAAAATTCGATCGGGAAGGTCGTCAAATGATTTTTGCAAGTTAACTGGTCCGGAAAATACATATTCCGGACCAGTTAACTTGCAAAAATCATTTGACGACCTTCCCGATCGAATTTTGAGCTGAAATTTGGCATGGACAAACTAGACTTGATGAGGAACATGCTCAAAAAATTTCATCAAAAAATTCCACCGGGAAGGTGCCCAAACGGGCTCGGCCGGACGGGGCAGCCCGTCAGGCCGGCCTGATGAGAAGAGCTCTCTTTTAATGAATATTGATGAATTTCTACATACAAAAACAATTCACCACAATCTTGTAGACTCCGTTGAATTTCAAAATCTATGATCTTTTAAAATTCATCAAAGTCATAAAAGGGGACACCCCCCATAGGTCAAAATTGTGGCTTCACTTAAATAAACAATAATACATTTTTTAGGATGTGTTTTAACTTGGACTGAAAATTGATGGTCTGATCTGGTCTAGTCTGTTTAAGTCTAGTCTGAGTTAGTAAATGTCTAATCTATGTGTATTTTATAACTATGGAAGTCTGATCTGATTTGTTCGAGTCTGGTATAGTCTGGTTTGAGACTGAAAACAATCCAAGTAAAAACATCCTAGTGAACATCAAACGCATTTTGTTGAGTATGAGGACTAATCACGAGAGTTGTGATCTCTCATTTATATCTTCTAATTTACTTTCTTTTTCTTATTTTTTTTCTTTTATAAAAATTCTTAAATTCTTAAATTGCGATATCACCTACATCTCACATCGAGGTGTAGGTGAGGATGGTGATGGTGAAGGAAATGGTTTGAAAACGGTTAAGGATAAGGCTTGAGATGAGGCTTCAGAGGTAGATGAGGGTGGTGGCTGATGAGATGATGATGGTTAAGGATGTTTTTACTTGGATTGTAATTTGCTGGTCTGGTCTGATCTGGTCTGGTCTGAACTGGTATGGTCTGGTCTGGTAAGGTCTGGTTTCTTTGTATTTTTATAACTATCCAAGTCTGGTCTGGTCTGGTCTGAACTGGTCTGGTCTGGACTGGTCTGGTCTGGTATGGGGCAAATTACAGTCCAAGTAAAAACATCCTAAGAGCTAAATGGTGGATAAGGAATTATGGCTAAGGATGATTTCTCACAAGTACATGACCTTTTCTCTCCCTCGTGATGATTTGAATCATCGGTGTCATCATGCTTACGCTTAGGTTGGCGCTCTTGATCACGGAAAGTGGCTTGGATAAAAGGCGGGGCAAGGGCTAGGATATCACGGGCTTGTATGAGATGGGGTGGTAGGTTGGTTTCACTTAAGAAGCGGTCAAGAAAGTATTCGAAAAGATCTATGATGTTAAGATTGGCAGGGTTGGGTGAAGAAGATGAAGGTAAGGATTGGGTAGTAATAGGTTAGGGGGTTATGGGTAAAGATGGAATGGTCAATGGTAGAGTTGAGATGATATTGGGTTGGGTGGAAAGATTAGATCTTATAAGAGTGGAGGGAGTGGGGTGTGATCTTTTATCTACTACGGTTTTTAGGTGTACAGGCCGTAGTTCTTGAATAAGAGAAAGTCTAAACACTGCAAGTTCAGACCGTCATATATCCTCCATAGTAATAAATGCATGAAATGAAAATTCAGATCTAAACATAGATTCTGTTATCACAACATTAGTAAAACTTGTTGTGCCATGGCTGTTGGGGAGATACGTGTGGCAGGACTTCCAACCATAATAGGCGAACCTATGGTTGTTCTGACTGGTTTTAATAATCCAGTATCAGTGTGTGAAAGAGGTTGTACCCTAGAAAATTGTAAAACATTTAAGATGGTGGGCACTTGACCTAACGTGCAAGGGCTTACAGTGTGGGGCGGTTCACTATATATATAATGGGTTCCCAGGAAATGGATGAAACAACCATTTGTTAGGAGACAGTTGAGTGGACAAGGTTTGGTTGAACTTGTGCCATTGAACTCGATGTGGCGACTTCTACTCGGGAACTGACAACGTCAGAACCTGTACTTATGGGTTGAGTTCGGGATATTGTAGTGACTAGCGGTGTCATAATAACAATAGAGGAGGAGACATCAACTCTCTTGGACTGAGTCTCACTTGCCCTCTTCTTTGGTTTAGAAGCTCGTCGATATACGAGGCCCCTGAATGGCTCGTCGATACCTCTGGGTATGAAAATACCGGGGCATTTATGATTGCTGCCCAGAGGTACTGTGGGGGCGCTTTTGGCGATGTGTTTTCTGCTGAACTGAAGAAACAGGCGCCGAAGGACCGCTTGGCTTTTGGGGTCCGGATCCTCGAGAGTGCTCCTATATACGAGAAATTCTTATATGACGTTGGGAACATCTCCTTCGTCATCGGCTTGAACGAGGGGGTGAAGGCCACATTGCCCGTCTTCGCCGCGCTGCAAGGTCCCGACTTCAACTTGGCCCAGCATACCAACGATGTCGAGCTGATCCGGGCTTTGAGCAAGCTGGAGAGTGACGCTCGTCGGGAGGAGGCCAAAGCCAGGAGGGAGATCCCGGATCCTCCAACCCCATAGCCTGAACTTGAGGAGGAGGGGGATGTTAATCCTGGAGGAGCCCGGCCGGTTTCTCCCAATTTTTGTTGATGTATTTTCCTTTGCTCTTTGAACTAGACTGTAATATCCAACCGTTAGAGCTGAGGAATACAAGAGCGTTTTTGCCCCACAATTGTCTCTTTTGCTTTGTCATTTTTCTTGCCATTTTTTTGTGTTTGATAGCTGCATGAAACCCTAGGGTTAAACGTGCGACGTGGTATACCATATTTGGAGTAGTGCCTCATTCGTACGTAGCATTATTCGCAAGAAATTACATCCGATGGTGTCGGCATCTCTGCTGAATCATCACTACGATATTAAGTATGTGGGACTTTAGTTATGTGAGGACGAGTGTGCCCCTTTGTTGTGACGACGTTCATCCTCTACCGGCATGAATATTTCCCACCTCACATTATGTTGGTTTTTTTAACAAGTATCTCAGTTTGATTCCCCTGTGAACTTATTACGCAAGTACGAACTTGATTGCTTGGTGCCCTTATCTGGTAGCGATGTCCGTCCGCGCGCCGTTGGTTCCGGCATCTCTCATCCTTGTACTTGTACTTTTCGTGCTAAGCACTAAGATCCAAATTCCCTTAGAGACGCTCGTCCGCCCAACCCGCTTGTTTTTCTCAAGTATGTGAGGACGAACGTAACCTCAGTGGCGTGTGGAAACTCTTAAGGCAGATGAGCCCATTTTTCCTCTTGTACCCTTTGGGCGAGTGGTAAGTGCCTGGTGGTGCGCCCCGACCCAAGCTCTTTATGTAGGACGTACGTCGCACCGTTCTCATGGTGGGTCATGATATTCCTTGTTGTAATTAGCGGGTGCTAGGATCGAGGCGCCTTTAATACCGCGGAATATACCGGTATCCTGGTGCCACGTGTCTATCCGTGATTGGCGCAGTCCTGCGGTGCTGCCTATAAGTATTCGGAAACACGCGGATCAACCATTTGCTTCTTCTTTGGCCTTACGCTGTGCAATTTCTTTCTCTCTCTAGCCACACTCCGCACTGCGTCAGTCTTCGATACTACAGGTACCGAACGTCATCATGTCTTCTTATAGGTTGGAGTCCCATATTATTGACCCAAGGACCCAGGTCAGCTCGTCGTCCGCCGAGGATCGTTTTGACGACGGGTGTTCCTCCGGCGATGACTTGGAGTTTTATGAACGGGGAATGCCACCTCGGCCTCCCTGTCACCACCTCAATTTCTCCTGCGTTCGGCGTCAGCGCCAACGCTTGTCGAATGCTGACAAGCGTGTGATTAGCCAATGGTTTTATCCCCCAAGGGTTTATGACGATCGTCGCCTGCGCAATCCCATGCGCCATCTGCCCGGCTATGTGGTAGTTCACCTAGACTCGGTCATAGCCGACCTCTTCTTCCCCTTGCACCCCTTCCACATGGAACTCTTCATGGGCCTTAGGATAACACCCGCGCAGCTCGTCCCCGCTGCTTATAGGATCATCGTGGGTTTCATCATTAGATGCCACAGCGTTAATGTGGCCCCCACTATAGATCTGCTGGATCATTTCTTCCGGTTGTCCCCATTTGGGCGTACGGGGTACTTGACCCTGATTGCACGTTCGTCCATGGTCTTGTTCTCGAACAACGCCGGGAATCCGAATGGTTGGGAGGAGCGGTTCTTCCTCGCCGGAGTAGGCTCCCCGATGCCATTTTCTGATAGATGGAACGCCTACCCGGTGAAGTCCATCCCATCGCCCATGACGGATAAGGAGCTGGGATATGCCAGGCGTATAGCCGGCCTTGGCATCCAGAACCTCCGATTGTTGGTGGCTGAGCCTTTTGTAGCTCAGACTGGATTAGGTGCGTCCGTTTGTACTTGTATTGTCCTATCACCTTTTCGTTATTATGGTTCTGAACGTCTTGGTTTCTTTCCTGCAGGAGTTTTCCCATCTTCTTCCTCCATGGGACGTTCTAACAATATCTCCATCATTCCTGGCCGTGAAAGCAAGGATCAGGACAAGGGTAGAAAACTGCTTGTCCCCAAGATCGAGCCTCGGGTGACCAGATCACGAGCCGAGGAGGCCTCGGAAGCTGGTGCTTCGAAAAGACCTCGCCATGAGGGTACTGCTTCTAAGGCCATCATAGTGGCCGATGATTCCTACGAGGAGCCTGGGAGACC